GGGTTTAATGGACCTCGGATTCGGATTCAGCGACCCCAAAAACATATAATAAACATGGTCTGATCCTCAGGCCAAAGAAATTTTTTTTTGTGTGTGGCTGTGTAATCAATCCACGGTTAATCCCGATTGTACCATGTTCAATAATACTTGAATCGTGTGTAACCACAAATAAATTGCAAACAAACTGCATTCAACCATAATCGAACCACGAACGTACCCCTTTTAAAACCATAATCAAACCACGAATGTACCCCTTTCAACCATAAACGAACCACGTTCAACCATAATCAAACCACGTTCAATCATAATTGAACCATGTTCAACAATAATAATCGAACCATAAATGAACTACGTTCAATCATAATTGAACTACGTTCAACCTTTTTTTTTGCGTGGGGGAAATCCGTTACGAATACCCTGACCCTCGGGAGAATGAGAGTCAAGGGTTATGTGGGACTTACGGGAAGGGGTCCCCACCGAGGAACGGGAACCCTTTCCCGCTCTCGCTCCGTCTCCTTCTTTTGCTCCATAACAATGGAGCAGAAAAAGATTACCGCCTGCTGCCGGTCCTTGTCCCCGGAGGCCAGTGCGCGCATTAGGCTCTCCAGGGACAAGTCCGGCCCGATCGCATCGGCCAGCGCCCGGCGGTCACTTGCCCACCGTGGACACTCCTCCACGGTGTGCTCCACCGAGTCGCTGGCCGCGCCGCACTGATGACACTGCGTCGTCGGCTCCTTGCCGATGCGACTCAGGTACTCTCCGAAGCATCCATGCCCGGTGAGCACCTGAGTGACTCTGTAGGTAAGGTGGCCGACCCCGTTCTCCAGCCACACCTTGAGATGGGGACGGACCACCAAGACGACCTCTTGGGCGGCCGCGTGCGGTTCGCCCAAGTGCTGCTCCCAATCGAGGAGCATCTGTCGTCTGGCCTGGCGCTTGGCAGTGGCGAGGCCCTCCCGCAGAACACTTTCTGCAGCGCCTTCCCGTAGCAACTCAACTTGGCAAGAATACCTCGCCGAGTACATTTTTGCCAGGAGGGCCAGTGGAGGTACCCCGGCCAACACCCTCGCCGTCTCCCTCGCTACGTCGCGGAAGCCGCGTATGACGCAGAGAGCAATAACTCTGGGCAGCGCGGAGTTGGGCGAACCCACTCCGCGCCCCCGTCTTCTCTCTTTTGGATGGTGAGTTGAATGTAGACGTGTTCTGTGTCGCTCTCTGTTTGTGGACTCATCTCTGCCGCTTTTTGCCCTTTTTTTCAGTTACACTGGTTGCCTGGCTCTATTCTGGCATATCTTCCTGGATTTTCCGTGAGTACTTTGCTTGGTTTGGCTGGTTTCTTTTCATCTTCTTGCGGTGGATATCTGTCAACGTAAACGATTGGACATTATCGGTTTCCTCGCGCCGTGTGCGTGTGTGTGGTTGCGTGCGTGTGATTGGAGGAGTTGAGCTGTGTGGTGGGCGTTATTTGATTGGTCGAATTTCCTGGAACGGATCGGCGGTTTCACGGTAACTCGGATGTCAAGGAAGAGATCCTTCCTTGCCGACCATGGAGAGTGCGGACTATGAGAGTGGTTCTACCTCCGGATTGCGTAGGCTCACTAGGGTGACTAGTAGGTCTAATATTGTTTCTAATGCACGAATTAATGTTTCGAAAATTAATGCACGTAGAGTCTCGGTTGATAGGAATAGTGACGTTATTTCCAAGCTGTTACTGTCCAGCAAGGAAACTGTTGAAAAGAGAACCTTGATTGAGTCGGCTTTTAGAGCGTGCAGAGAGGCATTCATCGAGGTATCAACGGTGCTGGCTCATATTCTGGAGAAGAAGCCTGCGGACCACCCTACTCTGGATGATATTAGAGGTGTTGTCACGGAGGCGCTTGAGGATAAGCTGGGCGCGGCATGTCGAGGGCGAGCGGGATTGGATCTATGCAGAGCCCAAGGGGTGTCTGACTATCAGCCATCTTATGCTTCTGTTGCTGGCAGGAGCACGATTCGGGTTTCTGGTGGTCCTACTGTGAGTGTGCCTCCTTCTACGTCTTTTCTTATCGTACCTTAGCAGAGTGTCAAAAAGTATGAGTCCTCGCAGGTTACCAGAGAAACGTTGAGCAAGGTATTTGCTAACAAAAATGGAGTGAAAATTGACGCATTTTCTCCTACCATTGACGCTATCAAGACACATCCAGGTCTAGCCAAGGCAGGCTTGGAAGTTGTTAAGAGCACAAAATTAAATCCAAGGCTTATAATTCATAATGTACCCATTGACATGACATCCGATGAAATTTTGGACGAAATTGCTGCGCAAAACCTGGAAGACTTTGATAAGGCAGACTTGAAAGTGATCTATTTATTTCATGCTAAGGCTGACAATCGCACTACGAGATGTGTTCTGGAGGTTTCACCTATGATAAGAAATATGTTGTTAAATCGAGGTCGTATATATCTGAGATACTCTGCCTGCAAAGTTGCCGATTATGTGAGAGTCTTGCAGTGTTACAACTGCCTTGCGTTCGGACATTTAGCCAAAATTTGCGGATTGAAAACGACTTGTGGATATTGTGGAGGCGAACATCAGATGAGAGATTGTGATAGGAGGGGAACTCTAAGGTGCGGCAACTGCTTGCGGAGTAAACAATTTTTGACTGGAGACCTGGGTCATGCAGCTACAGACGCAAAGACATGTCCAATTCTGAGCAGGAAGATTTCCAGCAGAATATCTAACATTAATTATGGATAATAAACGGAATTCAAATTGCCTACGCATATGTCATGTCAACTGCCAGTCTCTAGTAGCTCACTTTGACGAGTTCAGCATTTTCTTCCGCAAGTCTCAGTACCACGTGATCTGCATGTCTGAAACTTGGCTCAAACCTGAGATCTCAGATAACTTCATCAATCTTCGAGATTATACTGTGTATAGATGCGATAGAATAGGTAAGGGCGGTGACGGCGTCGGCTTTTATCTTCATAATAACCTCAGGACAAAAATCTTAAAAACTTCAGAAGAGTTTTATTGTCGCAAACCTGAATACATTATTGCTGAGATATCATTGTCGGACACAGCCAGTTTACTCCTTGCGGTAGTTTATAGACCTCCAAAGTGCGGCTTCTTACATGAATTTGAGAATGCATTTCTTGACTTTCAGGCTAACTACAGACATACAATTATATTTGGAGATTTTAATGCTGATTTACCAGCCATGTCTTATGACAGCACTCAATTGTTCACGTTCATTGAGTTAGCCGGTCTTTACATAGTGCCTTATCTGGTTACGCACAACTTAGCACACTCAAGCACCCTGCTGGATCTATGCATTGTCGATGACTCCGATAAGCTTATTGAACACGGTCAGCACGCTGTGCCTTTTTTGTCAGCGCATGACCTGATTTTTGTTCATTATAACATACACACTGAGCGCATACAAGAGCGGACAATTGTCTATAGGAATTTCAAGGACTTCAACGAGACGACATTCGTCCGTGATCTGCAGGGGGTGGACTGGAGCAGCTTAGTGGCCTCTACCTCACTTGATGAGAAAATAACCATTCTCAATCAGAAGGTGTTTCATTGCATAGATAAGCATGCACCTGTTAAACGTACATTCAGGAGTCTCCCTGCACCTTGGCTAACTGATGAGATAAAGGAGGAAATGATAAATAGAAACAGAGCTCGTAGAAGATGGCGCAGAGATCGTAGAGTGGACTCGTATAATGTTTTCAGAAGACTACGAAATAGTGTGCAAAATATGGTACGTACTGCAAAGAACAATTATTATATTGCGTTGTTCTCTAACACCAAGGATTCTGGCACTGTCTGGGGTGAATTGCGGCGATTGGGATTGATCAAGTCAAAGCATTCGAATAAGCGATTCTCCAATACTACTGAGGAGCTGAATGGTTACTTTGTGCGGGTGGCCGGCAACGCCAGCAATGCAGTGCAGCCTCTCGATGTAGATTTTTCGAGGGAGGTTTTTGATGACAGTAAACTTAATTGGAAGCATGTTGGCCCGCAGGATATCCGTCGTGTCTTTTCCAGGATTAAATCTAATGCCGCTGGCTTATTGGATGGTATATCCATTAAAATTATTGCCCTCGTCTTACCCTATATCATGCCGATCATCGAGGATATCTTTAACCATTCTCTGTCTCACGGTATCTTTCCTGACTGTTGGAAAACAATGGTGGTACGTCCCATACCAAAGACTAAGAATCCTTCTTCGCCTCAGGATTACAGACCAATTGCGATTCTCCCAACAATGTCAAAGGCTCTAGAGAGAATCGTATGTGAGCAAATTCAAACTTATTTAGAGACTAATGATCTTGGAGATCCATGTCAATTTGCCTACAAGAAGGGACATTCTACTCAGACTAGCATTATCAGGGTTCTGGATGATGTCAGATGGGCAGCTGATAAAAGGATGATTACAATCTCCGTACTCTTTGATTTATCCAAAGCTTTTGACCGAGTGCAATGTTCTATATTACTTGACAAACTCGTTGACTGCAATTTTTCTGGTTTAGCTATACGTTGGATTAAGTCTTATTTGACTAATAGGAAGCAAGTGGTTCGTGACCCAACTGACTCTAGAGTGTCTTCTTCGGCTGACATTGATGCTGGTGTGCTGCAGGGCTCAGTCCTGGGTCCTTTACTATTCGCTCTGTATCTCAAGGATTTCAGTAATGCGTTGACATACTGTAAATATAATTTTTATGCAGACGACTTATTGCTGTATCTACATTGTGAGCCCCAAGAGCTGCTGAATGGTATCACTAGAGTTAATTCTGATATACAAAGTATTGTCTCTTGGATATCTAGAAATAGGCTTGTGCTGAACTCTGAGAAGACTCAAGCAATTATTATGGGATCTGCAAGATATATAAATGGAATTAACTATGCCTTGCTTCCTGGTATTATGGTTAAAAATACAACTATACGCTTTGCTTCCTACGTAAAATATTTGGGTGTCACCATCACCAGCAGTCTCTCCTGGGAGAGGCACATCACAAGTGTTGTCAGTAGAGCTCGTAGGGCTTTTCATCAATTAAAACTTTGTAAGAACCTACTACCTCATACACTCAAGCGGAACCTCGTTATTGCTCTAATTTTTCCATATTTCGATTATTGTTGCTGCATTATGACAGACATTACGGTAGAACACAATCTACAACTACAGAGAGCTCTGAATGCATGTGTAAGATTCATCTACGGAATCAGAAGAGATACACATATTACCCCGTTTTATATTGATCTTCATTGGTTAAAAATTGACTCGAGGAGAACTTACTTTGTTTGTTGTCTCATGCATTACATAATAACGACACATAAGCCTCTCACATTGTATGAAAGACTGCAACATCGCAGTATTGCGGCAAGAAGCATTAGAACAATTGCCGGTGACTTTATTTTGCCTCTCTGTCGCACTGAAATCTACAGAAGATCTTTTACTTGTTTTGCGGTCGCAGCTTGGAACTCGTTACCGTATAATATACGTGCTATTGAATCTCATGTCTTATTTAAATCAATGGTTTTCAATCACTTGCTGGATGGAGGAAACGCTGGCGGGAGTTAATTCTTTGGCCAACTTTTGGCTTATGTTGTTTTTCTTTGTTCTCTAATGTATGTTATAATAGTATGTTTCTACTTTCTTTTGTTATTTTTATTTTTATTTTTATTTTTTATTTTTATTTCTCTGTTTTATTTATTTTATTTTGTTATTATTACTGTACTACTTATGTTTTGCGCTTAAGGGGATATTATCCCGGAGCGCGTAATAAATGATGCTTCTCTCTCTCTCTCTCTCTCTCTCTCTCTCTCGCTGCGGCCTCCGCCCACAACGGGGCCCCGTAGAGGGCCACCGAGTGGACGACGCTTGCGTATAGATGGCGGGCTGACTTCCGCGGCCCCCCGAGGTTTGGTAGCAGCCCAGCAAGGCTGTTCGTCACCCTGCGAATCCGGGGAGCCAGGCGAGCAAAATGCTCGCCGTAGCGCCACCTTGGGTCGAGGTGCAAACCAAGGTACTTTATGGTA